TGCCTCTGGAAACTCTGTGAACTTTGATAGAAAGGCTTCAGGCCTTTTGTTCATGGAGTTGCTGTAAGTCGTGCTCAACTCAATAGCAATCAACAACAACATAATTAGAGATTTCTTGGTAACTTTATAATTTTTTTATTGTGATTTGAGTGAAAGTTTAGAGAACGTTTAAAGTATGGGGAAAACTGGTTTTCTAGTCAGCGATTCATGTACATTTTGCTATATGACTTTGATTCTAACAGTCCCCACCTTGGAACAGCACTTGTCCCATTTTCCCTGTGACCTGTCCCTATTCATTCTTCTTTCCTGTTCCTGCTTTCTGGGCTTCATCTCTGGGCAAATACAGCCCTTTAAACCTTGTGTGGTTGTTTGCTCTGAAAAGTGAGTACTACTCTGGTGTTCTCACCTGTGTGCCAGGCTATTGTTTGGCTAAAAATGGAACTAGTAATGGGTAACTTTAGATTTCTATAGTGAAAAATCTTAGGTTTAGACCATCTTTAAATCATAAAGAGATTTTTGGTGAAAGAATTACAAATTGTTTCATTTGGTGCTAAGTGGAAAAAATGGAATTGTTATTTTCTTTCACATAAATATCTATTTTTTTCAGTCTTAAAAATGAAGTAAGGGAAAGTGAGAGAGGAAGACCTCAATCGGTATTAGGTAGACTTTCAGCTTCTATTTAAAATGCATAATAGATTGATTAATATATACTTTTGATTTTAAATTTATATACAGTGCTGGACCATTTTGGTTCCTATAATGTCAGAAATGGCAAAGCACTTGTTTGCTAAAAATTTTGGCAGTGTGAACCCATCCAGAGGCATTCAATGACAGGTCTGATAGTCTCCCATAATGAATAGAATGTAGATAAGTCTGTGGGGCTGACTCCTAGGCGATTGCTAGGAGTTAGAATCCATTAGAGAAGGCACCTAACAACAATAACAAAAGTGCCACAGACATTGAAGGTTCTAACACAAGCGCCTATGAGAATGTGCTGACAGACTGTATAGATGTCACAAGTGTCTGCGAACTATAAGTAAAGTCCGCAGAACGAAAGTGTCACAGGTCATTCATAGAGGTCTGATAGAACGTAATGGAGGTGTTATTGCAAGGCCTGGTGTTCACAGGCTGGACTCTGGTTTATGAAGTTGGGGTCAGAGGACGATATGGCAGAGTGCCAGACATGGACTCTGGAAACAAGATAAAAGCAGTTCCTGGATCTGGGAGATAAGGTGAAGGTTTGATCATAAACAGCAAGGGAAGAATCTAAGAACTGTGACCATATAGATCCAAGATGAACAACCAACTCTGGTTAATCAACTTGGCACTATTGAACTAAGAAGCTCCAGGAGCTCAGGTGGCCTAGTGGTAAGGATCTGTGCTACCAGCTCAAAGGCATGAAGGTTTGAATCCATCAGCTGCTGTAACAAAGAAAGATGGGTAGTCTCTATCCATGTGAGTTACTGCCTCTGAAAACCTGCTGTAGGATTAGCTATACATTGGTTCTGAGTCAATGGTACATAACAGCATGCCATAAGTAGGACCAAAAGTTGACTGTAGGTGGGAGATAGTGTGGATTGGAACTGGAACCAGAAACTTGGTAATTTTCTACATCCTCTTTTATTTACCTCTAGCTTCCACCAGCCTTTCTTTTGTTGAAGTACTTATGATCTAGTAATAGAATCCTTACCTTCTACATAAGAGATTTGGCTTCGATTACTTCATTCCTCCTGTCAGTGAAGGAAGATGTAGCCTGTTAGTGTGACACTAAATGAGTTTCAGTGGAGTGTCCTGACAGACACTAGGAAGAAAGTTCTAGTGATCCACTCTGAAAACTATGTCACAGTGGTCCAATTCTCCAGCCAAAATGGAAATATCTCAGAACTAGGCAGCGTTTTGTTTCATAGCACATGAAGTTGCCATGGATCAGGGTTAACGCTAAAGGAGCTAGCAACCAGAACATACTCAATGCTATATGAACTGTCTCCAAAGATTAGAGATGCAGAAGGTCTTTATTAGAAGTAGTACACTCTTTAAAAAAAAGAGAGAAGTAGTTTGGAACATTGTGGGCTCAAAGTGGTTGGGCTGTATGAGGAGAAGTGTGGCATCAGGATTGGAGGTAAACTCATCAACAGTCTGCGTTATGTAGATGGTACAAACTGAGGAAGACCTGAAGCACTTGCTGCAGAAGGTCAATGACTGCAGCTTTCAATATGATTTGAAGCTCAATATCAAGAAAACAAAGATTCTCGCCACTGGGCTGATTTGCAGCATCATGATAGATGATGAAGAGATTAAGATTGTTGTCAGCTTCAGTTTGCTTGGCTCTACAATCAACACTATTGGTACCAGCAGCCGGGAATATTAAAAAGATGAATTGCATTGGGAAAGTCGGCTGTCAGAAACCTCTCCAAAGTACTAAGGAGCAACAATGTCAGTCTGGAGACTAAGGTGCGCCTAGTACAGGCCATGGTCTTTGCAATTACTTGCTATGCATCAGAGAGCTGGACAGTGACTAAGAATGATAGAAGGAGAGTTGATGCCTTTAAGCTTTGGTGCTGGAGAAGAGTATTGAATATACCATGGACTGCTAGGAGAACAAACAAGTTCATCCTGGAGAAAGTGAAGCCAGACTGCTCCTTGGAGGCAAGGATGCTGACGCTCCGTCTGACATACTTTGGACATGTTGCAAGGCAGGATCAGACCTTGGAGAGGGATATCATGCATGGAAGGGTGGAGGGATGGCGCAGGAGAGGAAGATCCTTGATGAGATGGATTGATCCAGTCACTGGGGTAATGGGGATAAGCATGTCAGAGACAATAAGATTGCCAAGGGATGATAGTCCAAGGTTTAGGCCTGTTGTACATAGGATTGCTATGAGTCACAGGCGACTCGACAGCACCTAACAACAAAAACCAACATTAAAAAAATATTCACAGATCACAACACATTCTTGTGGGTTACTTGGAATCCTAAATTTTAGATATATCTTTGTTTGTTTGGGTAGAAAACTATGCTTCATGTTCCAAACACATTGTATTTAAACTGTTTATTTATATCGGAGAATTCTATTACTAACCAGATTATTGTTTCAACATTGTACATGTAGAATGGATTAGCAAGGTATTGTTGATTATTAAAAAAAAAAAAAAGCCAAAACACAAAACCTAAAAACCAAAACAGTGCTTATGCATTATGGCTTACAAAATAAATTTGCAAGGTCAATTACAAATTCTGTCCTAAAAATACATACACTGCAGCTAAACATGTTGTTTTAATCTGTCCTTTTTTTAGAAAGTGTATTTTCTCTTGACAAATTATTTCCAGAAGAGATGACAATGTGACTGTATATAACAAGAAGGAAACATACTGGATAATCTTAAATTCATTCATTACTTCATGTTAGAAAATATGTTGCCATTTTGTGCAGTCAAATTGCCTGAAGCTCATAGAGACTCGGAACAATGGCTCTGAACCTTGTCCTGTCCTGTGCCATCCTCGTCATCTCCATCACACTTGAGCCCATTGCTACAGTCACTGTCACTTTATCTCATTGGAGGTCTTCCTCTCTTACACTGGCCCTCTACCTTTCCAAGCATGATGTCCTTCATAAACTGGTTTTTCCTTACAGCATGCCCAATTGTTGTTGTTGTTATATGCCATCGAGTCACCTGCAACTCATAGCAACCCTATGTACAACAGCCCTAAACCCTGCTCTGTCCTGTACCAATCTCACTGTCTCTGACACACCTACCCCGATTAACCCAGTCACTGAGTCAACCAACCTCATAGAGTGTCTTCCCCTCCCACGCTGTCCCTCCACCCTCCCAAGCATGACGCCCCTCTCCAAGGACTGGTCCCTCCTTGCAACATGTCCAAAGTATGTCAGATGAAGCTTCAGAACCCTTGCCCCCAAGGAACAGCCTGGTTTAACCCTCTCCAGGATGAACCAGAAAATAAGTAAATATAAAACTGTATCAGTATAAAAACTTGTCTGGAATGAGGGTTGCAGAGTGGAGTATATTTGGGGTGGGGGTGGGGGGTGTGCAGGGGGATTGTATACCAATGAAGGAGTTTTTGTTTTGCTTTTCAAGGAGAGGAGCAAACGGGGAGGAGGGGGGCAGGAAGAAAAGTGTAACAATAAAAACTCTGTAGATGTTCATTGAAATTAATAAAAAACAAGAAATTATTAAAAATTTAAAATTAAAAGTGAAATAATTGATAGTTTCTGTCTCTTCTCCATCTATTATGATGTCTATTGTTACTTATTTGTGTTTATTGATTATGCAAAGGCATTTAGTTGTCTGGATTATAATAAATCATGGCTGACATTGAAAAAAAGATATCAGTATAAAAACTCTTCATTAATCCAGCTCTACCAATTTGAATATGTGATAAACAACTCGAAGCAGGCTAATCTGCTAGTTTTTATCTGTTAAGAAAATATGGCTAGCCAGTTAATGCATAATCAAGATTTTAGAGTATATTAAATTAACTTAAAGAAACAAATTAATTTAAACCTTCTTGTACAAAATATTTTTAATAAATGAGTACTATTAATTACAAATTAGTTATCCCTATTAAATTTGGATTCAATAAACATATACTTGAGTTTATGTTGAGTTTATACTCTAAAACTTTCTGTGATTGGAATTTTACAGACCAGACTGATCTTCCTTAATTGGTCGAAATTAGTAAGGTTTTTGAGCTCTGACGGTGCAGACATTTAAATGCTTGAGTGCTAACCAGAAGGTTGTCAGTTTGAATCACCAACCACTTCGAGGGGAAAAGATATGAAAATCTGCTGTAATTGGTGAAGATTACAAGTTTCGAAATCCTCTGGTGCAATTTGATCTGTCCTGTCAGGTTGCTGTGAATTAGATTTGACTCAGTGACTGGATTTTAGTAAGGAGGGTGTGTGTGTGTGTGTGTGTTTGAAATGATTTTTGGAAATCAAAGAAAGCTTTGACCTTATCATTGTACCCTTTCTCCCCCTCAGGTTTTTACCAAGTCTCGCAAGGTCAGCATTAGAAAAAAATCTGGGAGATGCTGGAATAGAAAGGACGAGTGATAATTTTGAACCAGAATTGAAGGATTACAGATGTAAGTGTTGGACATAGTTATTTTTAAAGGGAAATAATTATTATCAAACATTTGATGCTATTGTTTTAATTGCTATACTAAAAATACTGTTTTTCATCTTGTTTTCTCCCAGAGCAGCTCAAATTTTGTCCATTGTATTTAGCTGAAAATAGATTTGCTATTTTTAAAGAAGCTTGAAAAACCCTTACAAATTAAACTTTATGTTATTTGTTTTAATGCACACCAAATATAGTTCTCCCACTCTGCCCAAGTCCCAACTGACATTAACAAATTAAAGGCTCTAATAATCCCTGCTGTAAAAAATTTATCTAATTTTGTTTTCTCTAATACTTTTCAAGTGTTTGACCATAGTAGTTAGTTTTCATTGCACAACTTCTACATTTTGAGAGCCATTTATATCATCTTGTTGTTGTTACGTACCGTCGAGTTGGAACCGACCCATAGCTGACCCTCCAGTGGGTTTTCAAAGGCAGTAAATCACATAGGAAAAGATTGCCTGCCTTTTTCTCACAGAGCAATTAATGCATTATAACCACGTACCTAATTATATCTTAGGGGACACATTTGAGAAACTGTTCTAAGCTGGTACATAGGCAACTTAACTCATTGTTGTCAAGTCATTTTTGACTCAATGACCCTCCATCTGGTGTCCAAGGCTGAAATTCTAGTTGGAACTTAAGCATAGCTGATCCTCCAGTGGTTTTTCAGAGATTATAAATCTCATGAAACTGCCCTCTTTATCCTATGGAGTAGCAGGTAGGTTCGAACTGTATGCCGGGGGTTGGCAGGGCAACTCCTTACCACTAAGCCACCGGAGCTCCCAAAGAAACCATTGTGTCTTCTTACTCTCTGCATTTCTCCCTGCACTATATTTTGAAGTACTTTTTCTCTTAATAAAGAAATAACTTGAGTTACAGAGAGATAAATCAATGTATAGATGCTCCCTACTTTGTACTGGAGCACAATGAAAGTTTTCTTTATTTTGTAAGGTATTTATGTATTTTATGAAAATTTCAATGTAAGATGACTCTCTAAAGAAGACTGTTGGGTTCTATTGTCATAGATGTTGGTAGAAGTTGCTAGTCAGGAAATACAATGTCTATTTTAGAGTAATGAACTCAACATGCTGATAGATCTCAGTACAGATATGCAGAGGCAGTTCAAGGAATTGTATCATTATGTTCCTTAAATAAATCTATTAAAATATCCAGAGCAAGACAGGGTATTCAGTATAAAGATAGCTTAGTCTTGGAAACAAGCTAAACATTAGATTTTGTTAGATTAGATCATTGTTACATATTTTGTTAGATTATATCCTTGTTTCATTCATGTTTTATAGTACTTCATTAGTGTAATCCACTCTCCTTGTTCAAAGACCATGCATACTACACAAACTTCTGATGAATATTTTGGTTTCCAATAAGAACGTGCCAAGCAAAGCATCATAGTCCATACAGAAGTTCCAGTATTTATTAAAAAAATAACATTTTGCAATTCTTATTTTCTGTACCTCTCTTTAATATTTTCCTGAGTGTTAGACTAGTCCTCCTTTATGACCATAAAACCTAATATTGAGCCAAACCAGGTAAAGATCTTGGCATTTTAACCAAGTGTGCCATCCTATGAGGGAGCTCTGGTGGCTTAGTGGTAAGGAGTTGTGCTGCCAACCCAAAGGCATGAGGTTAAAATCCACCAGCTGCCCTGTGGAAAAATGATATACACTTTGCTCCCATGTGATTTATTGCCTCTGTAAACATGTCAGTCCCCTTTTACAACAGTGGCACTGTGAAGTATTTGTCCTTTTGTGACTGAGATATTTCACTCAGCATAATGTCCTCCAGGGTTACCCATTTTGTTTAATATTTCATGAGTTCGTTGTTTTTCAATGCAGTGTAGTATTGCATTGTGTGAATATACCACAGCTTCTCTATCCATTTGTTTGTTGATGGGCACTTAGGTTGTTTCCAACTCCTTGCTATAGTGAACAAAGCCACAATAAACAAGGTTGTGCATGTATCTGCTTGGATGGTGGTTATGGTTTCTTTGGGGTATATTCCCAGTAGTGGAATTGCTGAGTCAAATGGTATTTATATTTGCAACTATTTTTGAATTTTGGAAACAAATATTGACCCAGAGGATTAAATTTTCCTAACGATGACAGTTATACAGAGTTCAGGTCTTTTCGTTCTTAGGGTTGCTATGAGTCATCTGTGACTTGATGGCACCTAACAACAACAGCAATGCCTTATATAATACACATATTTATAAAACTGTAGAGGAGATTAGATGCTAGGGTGAACCTGAAATTGTGTTCAGCTTCTCAGTACACATGTATCTAGTCAACTCCCTGCCGCAGTCTTGCCCTTTCCCTTCATAGTTTTATATTCAACCTGTTACGGAGATATAATCAGAATAAATTCCTAGTGAATTCTCAGCATGACACTTCCTGATTTTCCTTCCCTATAAAACTTGTAAAGTAGCAAAACCTGCTGGGGGAAAAGGTTACAGTTAAGATCTACTGTGCTTTGACAGTTAAAATGTGTGCTTCTCAGCAGTGATTAAACAGGGTGACAGTTTAATTGTTTTTAGCTCCATCTAAAGTATTCACCATACTCTGAAGAAGCAAATATTTCTTTCTCCTTATCTTTCAGAATAATCTAGGACAAAAATGACATTGTAGAGGACAAACTACAATTTTCTTATTTGATGTAGGAAAAAAAATAAATAAATAATTTGTTTAAGATCTTGTAACAGCTGCTTGCTAGAATATCTACGTGAGGTGGAACTTTTTTGGAGTCAGAAGATTGAGCTCACTTCATGTGGTAGAAAAAAAAAATGCCAAATTATGCTAAGTCCTATTTTTAACTCCACCCATTAATGGCTAGGTGATTTTAAGCAGATTAGTTTATGTTCTTCAGTTTCTATAGAATTTTGTCATCGCTGTTAAGGAATATGAAAACTTTCTGAGGAAAAAAAAACCAAACTGAAGTCCAAATTTGAGATCTGGTCGCAGAAGTTCTTCAGATTGAAAACTTCTTTTCCTGTGTCTATCAATATTATTATCTCTCCTTTTACTATTGACCTTGGAATGTGTCAGACAGTAAATATGTGTGTCTGGTTACTACTGGAAATACACCTGGCATATGTTCCCTGATTTAAGGAGTGGATTGACACAGTAACTGCTCCAGTGGCCTTGAGTATGTCAGAAATGATGAAGATGCCACAGGATAGATTCAAGTTCAGATCTGCTATTCATAGGGTCACTATGAGTCGTACTTACTTGACAGCACTAACAACAACAATAATAACAACAACATTATTCCATCTCCTGGCTTCTGAGAGCTCTTAATCTACTCTAGGGCAACTTATTTAAAACAAATAGTGAATAAGACAATAGTTCCTATTACAGATTGTGTAGTATTGAGGTTCATGATCTATTTTATTTGAAAATAGTAATTTAAGTGATTAGAATAAACTAGGTCATCTGTATTTTTGTCTAGAAATTAAAGGCTTTCTAGTGTGAAAGTTTTTTTATGTGTGGCTCTAACATAGTATGTCAGCTCTTTTGAATGTATATTTGGTTTACATATGTGTTGTGTAAACTATGAACAAATTTATAATGTGGTTGGGCTGAGCTCTGGGCTGGTTTTTTTTTTTCACCCTCTTAATTTTGTCAATGTAATGTTTGAGACTTTATATATATCTTATATATAACAATCATATACCAGATATATGTATATTGTTGTTGTTGTGTACTGTCAACTCCAACCCATAGCTAACCTCCAGCACATTTTCAGAGGCAGTAAATTATACAGGAAGGGATTGCCCATCTTTCTCCCATGGAGCATTTAGTAGATTCTAACCATGTACCTTTGAGTTGACAGTGCAATGCCTTACCACTAAAGCGACCAAGTATATATTTACAAATTTTCCACACTATGAAATATTTTAAACAACATGTAGAGCTATAGTGTTTTATGATCCCCTTTGGTGTTTGGTGGCTGGCTTCTCTGTGAAGAGTGCTAGGAGTTATTTTATGTCCTGTGTGAAATGTTCAGGTGAAGTAGCATCTGGATCTCTGATGATTGGCGCTGTCAGTGCACCGGTATATAACGCCCATGAGAAAATGAAAGTGCCTGATGTTCTATTCTATGACAACGTCCAGGTAAGAGCACTACTTTACATTCTGTTATATATCACCATTTACATTGTGATACTTAACACAGATTCAGGTAAAAATGATGTTTAGTTATTTTTGTAATTTCCTAAATTCAGTTAAGATGATGCAAAAATGAAGAAATAAAACATACTTTATTAAGTCATTATAAAGCATGATGTTCTTTCCAAAGATTTTTGAAAGTAGAGGAATTTCTACTATGATTAGGATAGTAAATTTTGCACACAAATATAAACATAGTGTATGACTACTACACTTTGGAGAGGGACATCATGCATGGAAGGGTGGAGGGACAGCACAGGAGAGGAAGATCCAAGCTGAGATGAATTGACTGTAACTGGAGCAATGGGATTAGGTCTATCAGAGATAATTAAATTGGCCCAGGATAGGGCAGGGTCACTATAAGTCACAGGTGACTCAATGGCACATAACAACAACATGACTACACATCAGATAAATAAATTGTTAAACTAAAAACAAAGTTGTATAATAGTCACCCTGTTTTTTCCTTGCTTTTAGTTAAGTCATTTCAGTAGTTCAAAGAGAGATGTGTTTAAATGCATCCATTTTTTGTAAATTCCACAGTATTATTTTCCTTTATGACTCTTTTTTTCTCTTTTTAAAAGGAAAGGGTAGAGAATATCTGATCTGTTAACTTGTCAATCCATTAGGAGATAGACATAGATTTAACCCAAATAGTCGTCTTGCAGATGTTCACTATATTAAAAATGTTCCCAAGAGAGAATTATCTATAATAACCCATAATAGAAGATTCCACCTTCTTTTCTTAATGTTCTGTCAGGTGGTTACATATTTTCTTTTAAAATATAACAAAAATCTGAAAACGAAAATGTTTCAAATCTGAAAACTAAAATGTTTCCTATAATGCTTGGTCACATATCTTCATTTAATTAACTTTACAGTTACATATTAAATTAGTCGAACTTTGTGATAAGTTGAATTGTATACCTATCCCCCCAAAAATAATTGGTAACTGGAATACAAAAGCCAGAAACAACAAAGAAAGAATGGTAGTCAGAAAGTACAGACTTAGTGACAGAAATGAGGCCAGAAATAGAATGACTAAATTTTATGTATTTAGTGATTTATTCATTACAAATATCTTTTTAAAAAAACACAAATGTCATCTTTACATATAGATCTAACCTGGTGAACTGCATAAAAATTAGATTGACTGTATCTGTGGAAGCAATTGTCAAAGAAACTTAGTACCAGTAGCCAAAACTAGGCCAGGTGGTGACTGTAGAACAGACCATCAATTACTCATATCCAAGGTCATGCTTAGCAGGGTGGAGGGAAAACACAGGAAAGGAAACCCTGGATGACATGCACTGACACAGTAACTAGGACTAGGTAGGCAGGTGTGTCAGAGATGATGAGATTGGCTCAGCATAGGACAGAGTTCAGAGCTATTATACATAATGTTGCTCTGAGCTGCAGGTGATTCAAAGGCACATAACAACAACAAAGTTCCAATTTAGGCCAAAGAAAATTAAACAAGTCCACAAGAGCCAAAAAATAGAATCTTGAGTCATTCCACCTGAACTTAAAAATCATCTTAAGAATGCATTTGAAGCATTGAGCATCAGTGATCAAAGATTAGATGTGTTGTGGAATAACCTCCACTACATCATCCATGAAGGGACGGAAAGTTCATTACAAGGATGGAGGAAAAAGAAAAAACCAAAATAATGTTAGAAGAGACTGAAAATTACAGCAGAGCATCAAAAAGTCAGTACAAAGGTAAGAGATGTTGAAGTAAAAGAGTTGAACAAAAGATTTCAAAGGGCAGCTTGAGAAGACAAAGTATTTTAATGTGAAGAGAGCTGGAATTGGAGAATAAAAAGGGAAGGACCGAGTTTGCATTTCTCAAACTAAAAAACAAATTCAAGCCTCAAGTTGCAATACTAAGAGATGATGTGGGGAAAATCTTGAATGATCAAGGAAGCATCAAAAGAAGATGACAGGAATATGCAAAATCACTATACCAAAAACAATTGGCCAATACTTAAATATTTCAGAATATATCATATGATCAAGAGGTAATGGCAATGAAGGAAGAAGTTCAAGCTGCACTGAAAGCACTGGCAAAAAATGAAGTCTCCAGGAACTGATAAATACCAATTGACATGTTTCAAAACTAACAGATGCAGCCCTGGACTGCTCACCAGTCTGTGCCAGAAAAGTTGGAGGACAGTTGCTTGGCCAACTGCCTGGAAGAGATCCATATTTATTCCCATTCCCAAGAATATGATCCAACAGAATGTGGAAATTATCAAATATTATCATTAATATGACATGCAAGCAAAATACTGCCGAAGATCATTTTAAAACAGGTAGAACAGTACTTAGAGAACTGCTGGAAGTTCAGACTGGATTTAGAAAAAGCTGTGTCACCAGGAATATAATTGCTGATGTCAGGTGGATCCTGGCTGAAAGTAATGAATACCAGAGGAAGGTCTATTTATTTGTGCTTTCTTGACTATGCAAAGGCATTTGCTAGTGTGCATAGAACAAATTATGACTAACATTGAGAAAGAATGGGAATCTCAGAGCACTTTATTGTGCTCACACAAATCCTATACCAAGACCAAAAGGCTCTTGTGTGAACAGAGCAAGGGAACACTACATAGTTTAGAATTAAGAAAGGAGTGTATCGTGGTTATATCTTCTCTCCATACCTCTTCAATCTGTATTTTGAACTGAGCAAATTATTTGAGAAACTGGACTCCATGAAAAATAATGTGGCATCAAGATTGGAGGAAGACTCACCAATAATCTGTGTTATGTAAATAATTCACCCTTGCTTGCTGAAAGTGAGGAGGATGTGAAGAACTTGCTGAAGACAAAAAAGGCAATATGGATTGCATCTCAATATCAAGAAAACAAAAATTCTTACCAGTGGACCACTAGACAACATCATGATAGATGGAGAAAGATTTAAGTTGCCAATGATTTCATCTAACTTCGATTCACAATCAATACCCTTGATACCAGCAGTCAGGATATCAGGAGACATATTGTACTGTGAAAGTCTGCAGTCAGGGACCTTTTCAAATTATTTTGAGGACTAAGTTTGAGGACAAAGGTGCACCTGATTCAGGCCATGTTTTTTCCAGGTCACTTGCTATGGTTCTGGGAGCAGGACAATGAATAAGAATGGCAGAAAAATTGATGCCTTTGAGCTCTGGTGTTGGAGAAGAGTACTGAATATCCCATAGACTGCAAAAGAATAAACATTTGTTTTGGAGAGGGTGCAGCTGGAGAGCTCCTTGGAGGCTAAGATACCAAATCTTTGTCTCATATACTTTGGGCATGTTGTTAGGAGATAATACTACTCCTTGGAGAGGAACATGTTGCTTGGAAAGTTGGAGGGTTGGTGAAAGGGAGGAATACCCTCAACCAGATCGATTAACACAGTAACAGCAGCAATGGGCTCAAGTGTGTCAGAGATGATGAAGAAGGCACATGATAGGGCTTGGTTTAGATTTTTTTAATAGGGTTGCTATGAGTCATACTTGACTCATTAGAAAAAAAAAAGTATTTTAAATCCTAACCTCCAAGTTTGTAGTTATAATTTCTTTTGGGCATGGCTTGCCTTTTTTATGCTAATGAAGCATGATTGGTTTAAAGCTTATCTTGAATCAGTCTCTTTTGAGATATAAAGAGATCAAACAAGCATACAAGTGGAAAGTTGGGGTAAGACAGATACTAAGACATGTGGATATCTTCAATGAACAATGAAACAAACCAAACAGACAAGGACTTACCTTCAGAACTGACAGGAAGCCTTCCCTGTGTTACTGTTAGTACTCTGGTGATAAAGGAGGAAGTCAAGCTGCTCTGAAGGCATTGGAAAAAACAAGTCCCCAGGAATAGGTGGAGCAACAATTGACATATTTCAACAAATAGATGCAGCGCTGTAAGTGCTCGCCAGGCTGTGCTAAGAAATTTGGAGTATAACCACATGGCAGACTGACTGGAAGAGATCTCTATTTATTCCCATTTTAAAAAAAAAAGTGATCCCACAGAGTGTGAAAATTATAGAACTGTGTCATTAATATCACATGGAAGTAAAATCCTGAAGATTTTCCAAAAGCCACTAGAACAGTATATCAACAGAGAACTACCAGAAATACAAGCTGGGTTTAGAAGAGGTGGTGGCACTAGGGACATCATTGCCAATATCAGATGGATATTGGCCAAAAGCAGAGCATACCAGAGGAATGTCTGTCTGTGTGTCATTGACTCTGCAGAGGCATTTGAATGTGTGGAATCACAACAAATTATGACTAACCTTGAGAAAAACCGGAACCCTAGAAAAACATTGTACTCATGTGACACTTGTACTTGGACCAGGAGGCTGTAATCAGAAGAGAGCAAGGAATCACTGCATGGTTAAAAATCAGAAAAGGACTGTGTCAGGGATGTGTCCTGTCTCCATGCCCTTTCATCTGTATGCCGAACAGATCATTCAAGAGGCTGGCCTTTATTAGGAAGAATGTGGCATCAGAAGTGGAGGAAGACTTATCAACAACCTGCGTTATGCAGATGACATTACTTGCTGAAACTGAGGAGGGCAGGTCATCAAGGACTATGGCCTACAATATGGATTGAAGCTCAACATCAAGAAAACAGATTCTTACTACTGGGCCAATTGGCAACACTATCATAAATGGAAGAGAGATTGAGATTGTTTCAGCTTATTTTGTTACACAATCAATACTTTTGGCACCAGCAGTCAGGAAATCAAAAGATAAATTGCATTAAGAAAATTTACTGTCTTGAAAAAAGTATTGAATATACTGTGGACTGCCATGAGAAGTAAAAGATCTATGCTGAAGTAGGTAAAACCAAGCTGTTCCTTGGAAGCAAGAATTTTGAGGCTCTGTCTCACATATTGGGCATGTAGCCAGGTGGTACCAGGCTTTGGAGAAGGGTATCATTCTTGAAAGAGTTGGGAGGCA